TGAGAGCAGACCAATAACTTATACTCTATTATATCGTCATACTTCGTAGGCTGTCAGTGAATATAGGTGTGTGTGAATCCCCATGGACTGTGCTAAAAAAATGGTCATAAAACTTTAAGAAATTCGTTTTAGCTTTTGATACCGGACTGAGGCCGCGTAAACACTGTCCCCTTGGTTCTAGTCGCCTACGGGGCCACTTAAGCAGGCAACGGCTCCATGGTATTTGAGCACCTGCAGTGCACGGATGCAGAACAGGATCAGTAGGCAGGGCCGAAAAAGGGCTTGTTCGGACACTTGCAAATATGCCACGATCCGTAGGCTTATTTACACACAAAAATAGAACTCAATCTTATGGGTTTAGCATAAAGCTAGTTATTGATACCGCCGCAAAGATATATAATCCTTTCTAGTTTTTGATGCCAGATTGAAAGCATACAAAACGTCTAGAGTCAGGTATTATATATCTTTGTGCGCGCTGAAGACATTTGTCATGCAACGTCCGAAAGCCGTTTCAAATTTGTCCTGAGAAACGGCACTGAAGAACAGTTGCACACAGCGAGCCGTTTAAAAGTAGCATGTAATGAACGAAAGTAAATAAATTGAAACAGTTGCGAATGTGTTTTAGTGCTTCAGCCAACGCTGAGTGTTACAAAGTACAGCCCGAGGGCATAAGAGGAGTTGCTTCACGAAGTGACTGCTACAGTAAGCATTGAGCAATTAAAGAAAGTGACATGAAATTAGGTACTTGATATGACAGGTTGATCATGATTAGAATACTAATGCTTGCTTTATACCACAACGTGAAGCCATTTGGTACTGGACAAAAGTTTCTTGATTCTCTGCTCTTTCCGATCGTTGTCAGGAAGTTCATGGAGAAGTTAGAAAAAGAAGTTCTTGACAGCTACCACTCACCACCAAGAATATGACAGGGACACGGACATGACTCCTTATTGATTATGAAAAACAAACATCTGCCAGCGTCCTTATAATATCTAAATACTATGAATCTATCGATACAGTTCACGACGCACCTCGAAGAGGAAAGACTTCTTTTGACTTTACGCTGTAAAGGTGCAGAAAACGGCGAACCACCTGAAGCTTCAGTCCATCGCAAGCGTGCGCGCCAGTATGCTGCCTACAAATCATTTTTAATCTTCCACAGAGCATAAAGATGGGGGTCGTCAGCACAGTCGTGTGCCTAACGTCACACCCAACAGAGCTTCAACACAAAATCCATTTCGTGCAAGAAGACCGACGGACAAATGGATGTCTACGAAAGGTCATCAGAGAAGGAAAAGCACCATTGAATGAGGTCACTGTTCGACCACGACCACGAAAACGCCGATGACTGCTCTGACTGCAACCGTCCATTTCAGAATCGACAAGACTGTTTTGCAAGGCAAAAGCATGGGAACCGTCACCAAATCAGAGAGAAACTAGAACATCGCTGGATGAAGACTACTCCACAAATTGTACGGACCATTAGAGAGCAGCTGCATCGCCAACCGAACTATCAAGGATGGGCTACGATTGGCGAAGAGCTCGGCAGCCGTTTTTCACCGAACTTCCACCGTACACAGCGTTCATTTTAGAGCCCTAATCATGGAAACCACAGTTGGCAACTACAAAAAAACGCTTAACTGCCAAAGAGCTGTTAATCCAGACAAGATCCAGTGCTATGGATGGAAATGAGGGCGATTATATCTCGTTGTCATGCCGAAACGTATGTAAGCTTCCGAAAAGAGTAAAATGTAACTATTACTCATCTTGACAGTCTTGTATGACTGTACCGTCGTCTACTGTTAATGAATCGATAGCGGCTGGTAACATCAACTGAAAGTTCGGTCCGGCACCACCAAGTTTTACACCATTTGTACCATTAATAACGTTTTAATATTACGTTCGATTAAACAAACGAATACGCTCGATAACATGAAGATATATAATTGACAAACAGTGAATCATTATCATTAAATGAAACCAGAACTGATACAGCATGTTTGCAACCGTTACAAAGCGAGCAAGAAATCCTGAAGTGAAGTCTTTTCGGTAAT